TCGTGGCTTCCCCTCCTGGCTTTGTTCCTGATACTCCTTCTGTCTGGAACCTCTTCTTTCCCCTTCCCCACTCCCCTGAGCCAACATGCTCATTCTTCCATCCAGCCTGGACAGTACTCTCTGTTCCTCTTCCCCGACCGTCCTCAAGCCCGTGGGAGATGTCCCTGCCCGCTGGGTCCACCAGTGTTGGCACTGATCATGCTTTGGCTTTGGCACTGGCTGCTGTTGGGAACGCTCGCTCAAAAGAAGGAAGCACGAAGGTTAAGGACAAAGGCTGGGGAGCCGACCTGCCTGAGTTGAGAGTCCAGCCCCGCCCCCTCCCATGGGGGATGAGGGCAGGCAAAGGACTAGCCAGGACGGAGCAGGAGCTGAGACTGCTCTCAGCATCTGCGCTGCAGCCCCGCACCACCCAAGCCCCGCCCCCTCGGCACACCCACTTCCCATCGTACACCCACGCCAGAGCACCTTCCTTAGAAATGACCATGTGTGTGCTCCAGCCCAGTGTGGAGACACCATGACACTTCTGAGAGCCCCCAAAACAGGACAAAGGGGCAGCACTCATACCCCTGCCCAGACTCCGCCCATCTTGACTATTCCATCAGGGCACCACTGCCTACCTGGTAAAAGGTGGTGGGAGCAGTGAGGAGAGGGCCCTGCACTCACGTCTGACTGCCTACTGACCCTTTAAATAAACCCTGCTCTCCGGCTCACCTGCATGCCTCTAGCTTGAATCTGTTTCTGGTCTGGAGGGTACAGCCTGGAACAGGCCCAGCCGAGGTGCCCACAACATGGGTACGATCTCTGGGCAAATGTCTGTCTCAGAGCCTATCTCGTGGAGTAGCTGTGAGGATTAGATGAGTTAAAGACTGGAAAGCCCTTGGCATACAGTAGATGCTCAATAAATAGCAGCCTGTGGCATTATGTCCTTGAGAGCAGACCTTGTGTCTGTTGCATGTGCCCAGCCTGGTGCCCGGCACCCTGTGGACGTTCAGTCCCTGTGACTGAGGCTGAAAATGTCTTCCATCTTTTAATCACTTGCAAATCATCTTCTGTTCCTGTTTTTACAATCAACGCTCTTGAGAAAGAAGGAAAGATCATCAAAAGAAAGAAGCCAAATCTGAATAGATAATCTGCCCGCCTAAGAAACAGCGCTGAGTTCCAAAAAGACTCAAGAGAGGAGCACTGGGTTCTGATTCTCTGCTATGTTTTGCTGCGTGGTTCAAGTTGGATACAGAGCAACTTAATCAACTAGGACAGGAATCAAAGGATGATCCAGGGGCCAGTGCTGTGCCTCAGTAGGCTAAGCCTCCACCTGCAGTGCTGGCATCCCATATGGGCACCAGTTCAAGTCCCAGCTGCTCCACTTCCGCTCCAGCTCTCTGCTATGGTCTGGGAAAGCAGTGGAAGATGGCCCAAGTCCTTGGGCCCCTGCACCCATGGGGGAGACCCGGAAGAGGCTCCTGGCTCCTGGCTTCAGATCAGCTCAGCACCGGTGGTAGCAGCCATTTGGGGAGTGAACCAGCAGATGCAAGGCCTTTCCATCTCTCCCTCTCTGTCTGTAACTCTACCTCTCAAATAATCTTTTAAAAAACACTATAGGGCAGCGTGATGGCCATGGTCCAGATCACTGCTACTATTTCCCTATCCCTCTGCCGCTCTGCAATGAAAACATCAAGGAGAAAGAAAGAACCGGAAGTTACGATGGCATCTTGCACCTTCATTCCGGAAATATCTTTTAAGAACCTCCTCTGGGAACTTGGGGAAGAATGAGATCCCTGCCCTCGTACAGTAGATGTTTGAATGGAGGGAGGGACTTTTTCCAGCTCCCTGGCAGCCCATGGTTGCTTAGGAGGGAAGCAAGGGAGGTGGAACAAAGTCAATGCCAGGCTTAGCAGATCCTTGGAGACATTTTTTTTTAAGCATCTTTGTGATAGGAGCAAGCAGCACAGGCGGCTGAGAGGAACAGGCATTTCATCTGACTCAGGTTTTCTCTCGTGGGGAGGGGCTGTGCTAGGTGGGCTGGTGGCTCTCTTGTGTGAAATGAACCACAGCTGTCACCAAGAGAGGCTTGCACACACACACACACACACAAACAGAACCTCAAGCCCATGTTGCTGGAGGCCTTTTCTGGGCCAGCTACAGCTTCGGCCCACACCTCTAGAACTCAGCAGACAGGCAGTGGTCTTTGGGCCGGGCAGCCAAGGCCTGCCTGTCCTCCTGGGTGTGCCCTGGACCTCATCGGCTGCCCCCACCCTCTGTCTCCAGGGCGAGCTGTGAGGTGGTCATTTGCCACCTTTACCTGGAACCTCATTTCCCCCGGCCAGTGCTCAGGCCCGCCAGAGCTGACTGCCCTAGATGGAAAACTCCACGGCTCTGCCCAGTGAGCCAGAGGCGATGGCCATCTGATAATGGCCCCTGACGGAGTGCCCCTGCTGGGGAGTGGCCCCATCTGGAGACAAACAGCCCGGAGGCTGTCCTGCTCTGCGAAGCCCCACCTGCTAGGAGCTTAGGAAACAGCCCCGCCCTGCCCATCCTCTTATCAGCTTCCAGGCAGGCAGGAGTCGGGAGCCTTCAACAGGTGCTTCTCTAAGTTGTACTGGGCTTCCTGGAGTCAAAGCCCCTGCCACATTCCTCTCCCCGTTGTTCTTCTTCAGGACACAAAACAGGAGGTGAAAAAGAGGCTGTTCACAGGTGGGTGTAACCCAGACCTATAAAAACACACAGCTTTTCCAACAAACTCATGTAGCGGTCTGTGTCGATAAAAGGTGTTGAAATCACCAGATGGGCTCGCACTTCTTCTTGGGCATTTGTTTCCAGGCAGGTCAAAGATTTCAGCCAGAGAAGGCTTTCAGAGCAGGTCACAAAACCCAGGGACCGTGAAGGAGAGGCTCAGGAGTCCGACTGCCGAAGAACGGAGAAGGTTCCGCGCCAGGGAGCCAAGCGGCAGGACAGGATGGGGCAGGATGAGCCAGGGCAGCCCTGCAGTCCCAGCTCCCCGCCGTGAGCTGCGCCGACTTTCTGTAGGTCCCCGAGGAGCTAAGTCCAGAGACTTTTAAAAAACACATTTATTTATTTGTTTGTTTGTTTGTTTGAAAGCCATAGCGCTCTGCCATCTGCTGGCTCACTCCTCAAATGGCTGCAATGGCGGCGCTGGGCCAGGCAGAAGCTGGGAGCCCGGAACCCCATCAGGGTCTCCCATGCACATGCCGGGTCCTGAGCACTCAGGCCATCCTCCGCTGCTTTCCCAGGTGCATGGGCAGGGAGCTGGATCAGAAGTGGAGCATCCGGGATTCGAACCAGCATTCCAATGTGGAATGCCGCCATCATAGGCGGTGGCTTAACCCAGCTGGCGCCATAACACCAGCCCCAGAGTATTAATTAGCAGGGGAAAAAAACGGTGCAAACCTGAACGTCCATCAGCAGGAAACAAATTGTGGCGCCTTCCTGCAACATGAACAGCAGAGGGAATAGCCGGATTCTGCCTCCCTCTCTGCTCCCACCCCGTCTGCCCCAGGTTTTTGGGTCAGTGCCCCGGGGACAGGTGGCAGTGTCTGGCGACATTTCTGGTTATCATACTTGAGGGAGGCAGGGAGCTGCTCGCATCCTTTGGGTGGAGGCCAGGGATGCACTCCGGAGAACCAGAGGAACATCTGGCCCCAGACGCCAGCAGCACCGAGGCTGAGCAGCCGGGAGCCAGGCCGAGCCAGACCAAACCAGTCGGTGTGGCTACCAGCACTCCAACGTGAAAAAGGAAGCTGCCGGCCGATCCAGCTAGTTCTCGCTTACAGACCCAGCCGGGAACAGAACAGCTTTGAAAAGCAGGCGCAGAACAACACGCAGCAGCCTGAAGGCAGTGGCCGCAGAGGGCAGGAAGCCAGCCAGGGTCCAAAAGGTCTTCAGTGCTGGAGACTGAGCCAGCGCAGGTGCTAATTTCAGCTCCACCACTCACTTGCTGTGTAACCTTGACAAGCCGCTTACTCATGCCGGGCCTCAGCTATCACATCTGTAAAATGGGGTGATATTCATAATAGTACCTTCTTCGTGAGGGTTAGATGAGTGAGCCAACGTAGAGCACTTGGAACAGCGCATGGCTCCTAGAACTATTTAAGTTTTTGCGTTTGCTATTACGATTGTTAGGTTCTGTAATGTGTTGTGTTTTAGATTATGGACATGAAGTCGGTACTTATAGGAAAGAGCACAGGGCTTGCCTCAAAGAGGCTGTCACCCTCCCGCCACCCCCACTGGCTGAGCAAATGCCGCCCCCAACACTTGGTATTTTTCAAGCCAGGCCATCCCAAACACACCGCCGAAATCTGGGACACTGTGCGAGGCAGGGATGCTTTTTTTTTTTTTTTTTTTTGAGACAGGCAGAGTGGACAGGGAGAGAGAGAGACAGAGAGAAAGGTCCTCCTTTTCCGTTGGTTCACCCCCCAATGGCCGCTGCGGCCGGCGCACCGCACTGATCCGAAGCCAGGAGCCAGGTGTTTCCTCCTGGTCTCCCATGCAGGTGCAGGGCCCAAGCACTTGGGCCATCCTCCACTGCCTTCCAGGGCCACAGCAGAGAGTTGGACTGGAGGAGGAGCAACCGGGACAGAATCCGGCGCCCCGACCCAACCCGGTGTGCCGGCGCAGCAGGTGGAGGATTAGCCTAGTGAGCCGCAGTGCCGGCCTGTGCAGGGATGCTAACAGCACCTCCTAATTGGCGCAGACGACAAGCAGGACAGCGGGTGCGGCCCTGGTCTGTACCACCTTGGCGACCTCCCGCGCGGCGGCTCTCCCAAGCCCGCACGGGCTCCCACGCCCATCTGCGGGTAACACAGTTGTGGTTTTGTCTTCACCAGGGCGTGAGCTTCTGCAGCTCAGAGCTGTGTGACACCTGTCCACGGGACCTCGGTGTCACAACAGAGGCTCAGCAAAAATCAGACTGCGTGGATGAAGATTTCCCAACGCGCTGTGAAGTAGGTACAGAGAGAAACAAAGAGACACGCATGCGCCCAAAAAACTTACGCTTCCATTTTGTTTGGAAGTCAACTTGGAATTGAGAAACAATTCCAAGACGGAGGGCCTGCAGTGCCATGGATCCCGCGGGAGGGCGGGGGGCGAGGAACGGACTCGGATACATGGACAGGCCGCCAGCGAAAGGCAGGGCCGGAGGGCGGCGAGCCTTGTCCAGCAGGCTGGGACGCTGAGACTTCATCCTGGGGCCTCCGGGATGTCCCAGGGCTGCAGCCTCTTTGCAGATGAGCGCAGCCGGCTGGGCTGGGGGTGGGGGGGTGGGGGGCCTTGGGTGAGGCAGGGAGAAGCTGTTTGCGAGGGACGCGCAGGTTTGTCCTCTCTGTCATCCCCGCTCACCCCTGTGGCCACACCTTTCTGATTTCCTGTGCCTTCCCAGCTTCCTAACTGGTGTCACGAGTTAGGTAACACCAGGTTGGTGGCTTGAAGTTGGCCGTGGTGGGCATGCACACACGCCGGCTTGACCCCAGCTCCTGTAAAAAATGGCCTCATTTTTACTATTTGTAAAATGGGAATACCATTAGCCTATCTCATAAGGGTCCCTCAATGCAATGAGGTACACACAGTTCTTGGAACAGATTTTGGTGAGTGATTAGTGCGCCGTCAATGTTTGGGGACAGACCTAACAGAAACTGGAAGTGCCCAGAGAGGTGTTAGACTTATCTCAGGCCACACAGCAAATCTGAGCCCAAGCTCCGCTCGGCTGCTGACTCTGACGAGGGCCCAGGGACCTCCAGGGGTGACCTGGGTTTCCGTGGGAGGAGCCTGGCAGGCAGCACAGTGGCCTCTGCCCTGGACCGACAGGCTGTGAGGTGGCCCCGGGCTGCTCAGACTCCCTGCCTGGGGCAGAGCACACAGGAGCCCAGGCAGGGCCGTGACCCCAATCCCGCCAGTCGGCAGGTCATTTGGGCAGGGCTGCCCCAGGTGCAGGGGGGGGGGTGGGCCTGAGACAGGTGCATGGTAACAGCCACTGCACCGTCCACACCGCCGCGCGGTTTCTATGCACCAGGCCCTTGCCTGTGTTCTGAGAATTCAGCCATGAACAAGACACACAAAGCCCCTACCCTCAGCAGCCTGACGCTCTGGCACAGAGGACAGAGGACCAACAGGTTCACCAAGGTCCTGAGGAGGGCTGCAAGGAAAAGGAGGCAGTGTGATGAGAAGTCAGGGAGGACTCCCGGGGGAGGTGACACGCGTGAGTCCTGGCAGACAGGAGGGAGTGCCCTGCACAGTGTGTGTGTGTCATCTCCTCCAACCCGCCTGACTCGCCGAGGAGGAAGCACAAAGATGGCGCTCACCTGCTCCGGGCCACACAGCGGCTCGGCCTTGCAGTCCCCGGCTGCCTCTACTGGCTCACGGGCGGGCGGGCGTGCGTGCGGACAGGCCGGGGCCTTCCCTTAGGTCTGGAGTTCACCCCGGAACACCTCCTTGAAGAGATGAGAAGGAAGGAAGGAAGGCGGAGAGCAGAGGAGGGGCGGGCAGTTCCAGAAGGGAGGGGCGGGCTGACCCTGGGACCTCCGAGGGCTGTGGGCGGAGGGCAGAGGGCCCTGCTCCGGCCCCACATGCAGGCTATGCACCCTGCTTCTGTCACCATCACACACAGGCCCTGCTCCGGCCAGGCCCAGGGCTGGCCACACAAGCAAGGGAAGACCAGGGCAAAGCCCCCCGCCTCCCCGGTGACCCACATACCAGACCCCGTCCCACATCTGACTTAAATTACGGTCCTGGTTGGTGCTTTCTTCTCTCTCCCCACCACCACCACCACCTCTCTCTCTCTCTTTTTAAAAAAGATTTTATTTATTCAAAAGGCACACAGCAAGGGCTCCTCCATCCTCTGGTTCTTCCCCCAAATGGCTGTGACCGCTGAGGCTGGGCCAGGGTCATGGAGGTCTTCTATGTGGGTGCAGGGGCCCAAGCACTTGGGCCACCCTCTGCTGCTTTCCCAGGCGCATCAGCAGGGAACTGGATCAGAAGTGGAGCAGCCAGGACTCCAGCTGGTAGCCAAGTGGGATGCGAAGATGCGGCCCCTTCACTACTCCTTCCAGAAAACCTCAGGCTGGCTCACTCGCTGTTTGCTGGGGCCCAGCAGGGCTGGCGCACCCAGGGGGAGATGAACCCGTGCGCCACCGAGGGCACAGCGTTGTGGGTTGGGGCAGGGAGCGTGTTTGGAGGGCGGAGGGCGAGGCGCCCCCAGCCCACCCCGGGGGAGGGGTGCTGAAGCTGAGGGCGGGGAGAGCAAAGGAGGGGCCTAAGGGGGCGGGGCTGAGATGGCCTTGGGAGTTCCCGGGGTGCTTTGAGGAGCTGGCGCCTGATGCTTTGTTTCTGGGCTGGGGTTCTGCCCAGGCCCTGGCTCTGCTGACCCACGCAGCCACAGGAAGAAAGAGGTCTGGGCAGAGGGGGCAGAGAGGCCCCCGCGGTGTCCCCGGGTGTGCAGGGTCCTGCAGGGCCGCAGTGGGAATCCCTCCCCTCTGCGGGAGGCACATGGCACGCCTCACTCCCTCACCCATCGGGCAACACCCAAATGTCACCTCCTCAGGTCCCTAAGGGCCTGGGACACTTCTCACTGCCTTTTTTTAATAATATTTATTTTATTTACTTGAAAGGCAGAGTTACAGATACAGAGAAAGGAAGAGACAGAGAGAGATCTTCCATCTGCTGGTTCACTCCACAAATGGCTAGGAGCTTCTTCCGGGTCTCCCATGTGGGTGCAGGGGCCCATGCACTTGGGCCATAACTCACTGCCTCCCAGGCACAGTAGCAGGGAGCTAGATCGAGTAGCCAGGACTGAACCGGGGGTGTCCCAAGCCACAACGCCCACCCCTTGCCTTACTTTCTTCATCGCGCTGAGTACCACCTGACGCCCATCTGGCTGAAGCACGTGGACTTGGCCGCTGGCAGTGGCTTTCTGCGGTTCAGCTGTGAACTGCACAGTTGCTCGCTGGTCTCTCACCGGCCTCCCCAACCAGAGTGCCAGCTCCACACAGCAGGGATTTTTATCTGCTCCTTCACCCCACCCCCTGGCACGCGGAAGACCCTAAACAGGGATGACTGGGTGGTGAATGCTTGTGATGGGGATTTGGCAAACAGAATAGAGAGGGCCGCTTCTGGGGTGCAAGCCGACAGCTCGGCTGGGGCCTGGCAGGGGGAACACCTACTTACCACCTGCCAGGCACCGAATGAGACACTGGTAGTGTCCTCTCTTTCGGTCTCAAGCATGGCCTGGGAGGAGGGGCTCATTGCTCGGGCCCATTTCACAGACGAGCAGACTGAGGCTTAGACTAACCTGTTTGGGGTTGCACAGCCTGACAAGTCACAGAGCAGCCCACGCATGCAGTCTTTCATCTGCATCTCTCTGACTCTCTTTGGTTGCTTATTTTAAAGGAAGAATATGGGTGGGGGCGGGGAGAGCTCCCATCCTCTGGTACATGCCCCAAATGCCCACAAGAGCCAGCACTGGACTAGGTGTGGATCGCCCACCTGGCTGGCAGGGGCTCGGCTACTTGAGCCATCACCATGACTGCCCAGGGTACACAGCAGTGCAAAGCTGGAAGCCGGATAGAGCCAGGGCTTGAATCCAGGCCCTCCAGTGTGGGCTGTGGGCATCCCAAGTGCCTAGTGCACTCCCCAGATGCCCACCAGGGCTAGGGCTGAGCCAAGGCTAAAGCCAGGAACCTGGGACGCCATCCGGGTGTCCCATACAGGTGGCAGGGACCGTATCTTGAGCCGTCATCACTCTCAGCCAGGTTCTGCATGGGCAGAGATCTGGACTCGGGAGCTGGACCCAGGATTGGGACCCAGGTGCTCTGTGGGATGCGGTCAGCCGCCTGTCCGGGACACAGGCAGAAGAGCCGTGTCCACCACCTTCTCGGTTAGGGGTGACCTTGGGAAAATCACCGACCCTCTCTGGACCTCAGTTTGTCCATCTGTACAAGGGGAATGCTGATCCTAGCAAAGAACTAGTCTCAGGAGCTGGCAGCCCTGCTCAGCCAGGACTCGGCTGCTGGAGCTGGCCAGAAGGTTTCCCAAACGTCAACATCGGACAAGGCCATCTGTGACCAGCTTGGATCAAGACAAAGACCAGACTGCTCTAATCACATCTGAACACAGACAGACTAGATATGAATATTGTCTAAACTACAACGATGACCAATCATGGCCTAATGGAGCTAATGCGAACGGAGCTGCTTCCCCACCAGCCGCAGCTTCAGCCTCACTCCGGTCTGCCCTCCTTCTAGGAAAGATCCTTGAAGATGCCCACTCAAAATTCCCTCTACTTCCTGCGGCAGCCAATCCAGGGCAAAGCCCACCGCCCACGTCCACATCACCTAACCTTATAATAAGTCCTTTCTAACGCCCTGTCCCCGAGATGCCCCTCGGGCCTCATGCCAGGACCCCTGGCTGCGGGGAGTGATGAGCGCTCTGCCACGCTGGCTGGTGGTGTTAGTAGTTCCTCCCTGCCGGGGGTGTTGTGAGGATCATATTCAGACGAGGGGACTTCAGAAAGCTCAATGAAGACGGAATTCAAGGGTAAGGGTAAGGACAGGCGTTGTGGCACTGTGGGTTCAGCCACTGCTTGCCACGCCGGCATCCCATACTGGGGCACCAGTTGGAGTCCCAGCCGCTCTGCTTCTGATCCAGCTCCCTGCTAATGCTCCTGGGAAGGCAGCAGAGGATGACCTAAGTGCTTGGGCCACTGCCACCCATGGAGGAAACTTGGATGGAGTTCCTGGCTTCTGGCTTCAGCCTGGCCCAGCCCCAGCTATCATAGTCATTTTGAGATTGAATCAGCAGATGGAAAATTCTCATTCTCTCTCTCTCTCTCTCTCTCTCTCTCTCTCTCTCTCTCTCGTCTCTCCACTCCCTGTGAGTCGAATTTTAAATAAATAAAGAAAAGATGGGCGGAGCCACGGCCCACTTGCCTAATCTTCTGCCTGCGGCTCCGGTACCCCAGGTTCTAGTCCTGGTTGGGGCGCCGGATTCTGTTCCGCTTGCTCCTCTTCCAGTCCAGCTCTCTCCTATGGCCCAGGAGTGCAATGGAGGATGGCCCAGGTGCTTGGGCCCCTGCACCCGCATGGGAAACCAGGAGGAAACACCTGGCTCCTGGCTTCGGATTGGCGCAGCGCACCGGCCGTAGCAGCCATTTGGGGGGGAGGGGAGGGTGAGCCAACGGAAGGAAGACCTTTCTCTCTAATAAAAGGAAAAAAGAAAAGAGAAGGCTGGCATTGTGCATGGGGTCATCCAATACTTGCCCTGCTGGCATCCCGTATGGGTGCAGATTCGAGTCCTGGCTGCCCCTGACCCAGCTCCCTGCTAATGTCCCTGGGAAGGCAATGGAAGATGGCCCAAGTACTTAGGTCCCTGCAACCCAAGTGGGACAGCCAAATGGAGTTCCAGGCTCCTGGATTTGGCCTGGCTCAGTCCTGTCTATTGTGACCATTTGGGGAGTGAACCAGTGGATGGAAGCGCTCTCTTCTCGCCCCATCACTCTGCCTTTCCAATAAATAAATCTTTAAAATAACAAACACAAGATAAGTTTATCTGGGTGCAAACAATTTTGAAATCCATGCATAGTTCTTTTATAATATGCATCTTCCATGGACTTTTTGAAGAGCCCTCAAGTGCACTTGGAATACTACATTCCTAAGAATGAATACAGGGGCCAGTGTTGTGGCGTAGCAGGTAAAGCCGCTGCCTACAGTGCTGGCATCCCATATGGGCACCAGTTCAAGTCCCGGCTGCTCCACTTCTGATCCAGCTCTCTGCTATGGCCTGGGAAAGCAGTAGAAGATGGCCCAAGCTGCACCCATGTGGGAGACCCAAAAGAAGCTCCTGGCTCCTGGCTTCAGATCAGCCCAGCTCTGGGCGTTGTGGCCAATTGGAGAGTGAACCAGCAGATGGAAGACCTCTCTCTCTCTCTCTCTCTCTCTCTCTCTCTCTCTCTGCCTCTCCTTCTCTGTGTGTAACTCTGACTTTCAAATAAATAAATAAATCTTTTTAAAAAATGAATACAAAATACCCCTTACTTACAAGGGTTTGAATTAGAATTGTTCAACCTTGCCATAGTGCAAAAGTGAGCCACACTCGAGAAACAACACACTTCAGGTTTGGAATTTGGATCTTTTCCTGGGTTATCCATCCTAGGCACTCCTAGGAGCACATCCTAGTGAGACGCACTCCAGCCACAGCGCTGTCAGCCCCAGCAGACGAGAGGAAAGATGCCGGTTCCACAGTGCTCCGTGTAGCTAAGCTGTGATGTGGGGAGCCTGGGGTGGATTAAAGGCTTTTTCAACTTGTAGTGTTTCCAACTCACGATGGGTTTATTGGGACAGGACCTCCTTGTAGGGTGAACAAGATCTGTACTTGTCTTAGTTTAACATCATCTTCATTTTCCAAGGAGGGGAAGGAACTTTGCCCAAGGTCACATGGCCA